ATGGAGTCTTGCTCTGTCACCCAGGCTGGAGTACAGGGGTGCAATCTCGGCTCTCAAGCTCCTCCTCCCGGGTTCACGCCATTCTCCTGCCTCAGCCTCCCAAGCAGCTGGGACTACAGGCGCCTGCCACCACGCCCGGCTAATTTTTTGTATTTTTAGTAGAGACGGGGTTTCACCGTGTTAGCCGGGACGATCTCCATCTCCTGACTTCGTGATCCGCCCGCCTCGGCCTCCCAAAGCGCTGGGATTACAGGCGTGAGCCACCACGCCCAGCCCCAATTGCCTTTTAAGAGCAAACTAAGTCGCAGATCCCATCTGCCCACTGTATGAAACCAGCAAAGCGGCTTTACCACTGTGAGGACCCCTGAGAGAAGGAAGGGGTGATAGGTGAGCTCACCTCCAGGTCTCGGGAATGTAATTTCTATGCCTTCCACATCAGCCGCATGGAGCTGGAGAAGTTGATGAGCTACAGACAGGCTGTAAAGGACCCCAGGACTCTGAGGCCTGGCAGCATTTTGGCATGAGTCTCAAGATGCTGGTGGGGTGGTGGGTTTCAAAACATCCTCTTTGAGCTTTGGTTGTTAGATTAGGAGAACAAAGTACAAAAAGCAAAGTAAGATTTACCAGTCTTTGTTATTTTGTACTGAAGCTGCCACTGTTAGGCCCCATTGCTTGGGACTAGCACCAGCCTTTTGGTTTTAATGAGCAAATGTTTACCTTTACAGAAAAGCTGGTTGTTCACATATACTCATCCAGAGGCAGTGACCCTCTGAGCAGCTTGGGCTAGAGCTGCTGCCAGCCACTACATCCTGCAGGAGGGGACATCCTGAGGGTGGCTTTCAGATTCCTCCCCACGGGAGAGGCAGTGCATCCCCTGCGCAATCCGTACTTTCACAAGGTTTTCTCTGCAGTGCTAACCTGCCCAGTCTGAGAGAGTCGCTAGACCCCGAGCGCTTTCCACAGACAGTGATCGTGGCAGGCCCTTCCTCACGATGCCTCTGCTGAGAGAAGGCTGTGATCCTGAGACTGACAGGGGCCAGCAGCTCTGGCATCTGGAACGTTCCCCCCTCCACTGAACTCTCTGGCACTTGCATGGTAGGTCTTCTCTAAGTGAAGGCTCTTCCTCACCCACTCAGTGCTGAGGGTCGCCAGGAAGCGCAGTGTGAAGGTGATGAGCTCAGATTCCACACTGGTTTGAATCCTGGCTCTGCCACTTGCTACCTGGTGACCTTCGGCCCAGGATTCACTCTCCCTGAGCTGTGGATACAGGGATTGTTGAGTTGATATACTTAAAACACTTAGATCTGGGCCTGGCTCAAAGCAAGTGCCTGATAGGTCTTACCAATCCCTGGTATACGAAGGCATAGTGGGTAGGGAGGAATCACCTCGGCTAAGAGTTTATGTGTCAAGCACCAAGACTTGGGTCCAAGTCCAGGCTTTGTCCCCCACACAGCCACGGGACCGCACACAAGTGACTGCAGCCTCACTGTGCATCAGTTTTCTAACCTATAGGATGGGGGAAAGTACTTACTGCTCATGTGGTGGTTGACCAGGCGACATGAAATAGAGAGATGCCACACAGCACAGGCAGTGGGACGCCAAGCTCCAACGAGGGTTCAGATGGTATCATTTTGTTACTATTATTTTATTTCTCATTATCAGTAATTATCTGATACGAAATAAGGCATAAGCTGAGACCAAATACTCATGAATCCTCCAGGAACATTTCCCTCCAGGGCAATTTCTCAGACACAAATGGGGTGGAGGAGCTGTTCCTCCCTTACAGAGAGGCTTCCCAGGAACTCACACGCTCAGCCTCAGCACCGGATGCGCCAGGAGGCTGGAAGGGCCCGCAGCGGGATGGGGGTGGTGGCAGGCACCCAGGGCCGATTCCAGACCTGCCCTGCCTTCATGAAAGGCCCAGGATTCGATTGTCTGGCCCACATTAACATCTGAGAGGCTGGTCATGTGACACAGCTCTGGCCACAAAGAAATAAGCAGTGTGCTGAAGAGGCGTCTGGGTCTGTTAAGTAAGGTTCAACGAGCTATTCAGAGGCACGCAGTGCCCAAGGGCTCAGCTAGACACAGGGCTGTCTACTTCAGGGTAATAAGGCAGATGTCAGTTTGCCTCCTGGACTCTCCGGTGGGAGTGCGCGCTGCACCCACACAGCTAGTCTCATGGGCCCCTGGATGGGTCAGCTGCAAAGGTACAAAACTCCCGCCAAGAAGGGCACGTGGAACCCATCTGGTCTCAGAGTCTTATGCTCCCAGCAGCCAGTATCTCTCACAATCACTCCATGGGTGGGGCATAGCTTCCAGGGTCACCCTCTAGAGACATCCCCAGTCACAAAAGTTACCACTGTGGGAAGCTCAAAGCCCTGGATGCCCCGTCCCCCAAGCATTAGAATTTTTCCATCTAGATACAGTTTATCAAAAAGAGTCACCTCACCATAAGCAATGTTGCCTGGAGACATAGCTGACACGCTGCCTTTCAGGTTACCCAGGCACACTACGAAAGGGAACAGACGGTCTGATTCTCATGCAGAGAAGTTATCACCTCTTAACCCACAGAAAACCTTTGCTTCCCTAATGTCAAGGGGAGGACGTCCAGCTGGTGTGGACTTCAGCCCTTCTCCTTTCGTCTTCCTGCCTAGAAGCAGCAGCAATGGCTGGGGCTGCTCACACACTGTGTGACGATGAGGTGACAAGCCTGAAGAGGAGGTCAAGAGACGCAGCAGTGCCGATCCTTACGTCACTGAGCCATTGAACCTGCGGCCTCTTGCCTCTGGACCTTTTTTTTTTTTTTTTTGAGACAGTCTTGCTCTGTCTTCCAGGCTGGAGTGCAGTGGCACAATCTTGGCCCACTGCAACCTCCACCTCCCGGGTTCAAGTGATTCTCCTGCCTCAGCCTCCCAAGTAGCTGGGACTACAGGCACACATCACCATGCCTGGCTAATTTCTGTATTTTTAGTAGAGATGGGGTTTCACCATATTGGTCAGGCCGGTCTTGAACTCTTGACCTTTTGATCCACCCACCTCTGCCTCCCAAAGTGCTGGGATTACAGGCATGAGCCACCACGCCCAGCCCTGGACTTCTTTATGTAAGACACACTCCTCCTATTTGTGCAAGCTAATGTTAGGTGGGGATTTTGATACTTGTACCCAAATGCATTCAAACTGATAAAGGTGTTTAATTTGGAGAAGCTTTTCCCAAATTCATTATATTCTAGGGTTCTGCATCACCATTATGATGATCTCTCCCTGTAGCTGAGTAAGATTTTTGGCCCATAAAGGCCTCACTGAATATAAATGCTGTAAAGGATGTTCTTTTGCTTAATTTTTCTATATTTTCATAACAATCAAAGGGCTTCTCTCCTACAGAAGAAACTATAAATTCAGGTTTTCCACATTGGTTCCAGTTGGTCACAGCAGTTTTAGCCCGTCTGAATTGGTTTAAGGCATCCGGCCTTGTTTGGATTTGCTTTGGAACAGTCTGAGTGGTGCAGGGAACCAAGTCTTCTGGGATGCCAGGAGCTACAGTCAGAGGTACCCCAGGCATCCCTCACAATCCCACTCCCTGCAGATATGAGATTGGTTCAAGGGCCGGGGAATTTAATGTCTAAATCACCTCCTAGTGTGAGAGTTCTGTCCAGATGACACCATGATACACCGAAAAGTGAGCTTGTTGGATCCATGAGACCCTGCCTCACCGGAGCAGTGTGACTGGCAATCCCACCCCGGCTTCCGCCCGCCAAGGAAAATGGCACAGTGATGTAGTGCATTCTCCCTGCTCATCAGGGGCCAGCTCCTACACATCAGGAACCCAATCAAACCCTACGAGTGGGAATGCGGGGAGTGTGGTCTCTTCCAGGAATCATCATAACCTGCTGTGGCCTGAAGAAAACCAGTATGAGCCCGTTTGAACCAGATAAAATGTACCTAAAACCACATGTAAACTGCTGGGCAAAACCCATCTGAGCCTATCTGAATTGGTCAAAATGGAACCAAGTCTATCTGAATTGTGTGATATTAATTCTGATGGTTTAAAACAGATTTTCACCCAATCTGGGCAGCATTAAGCCAGTTATAACAGTCGAAATTGATTTGAGCCAGTTAATCCAGTTTCAACCAACTGGAACTGGTTTAGCCTGGTTCAAACTAGTCCTCTAAAGACAAATTTGGGGGCTTCAGTTCCCCAGGCTTTAGTTGTTTGCTAAAAAAAGAAAAGCAGTATGGGAAGGGCTGAAAGTCATTTATTTCTGAAGACTAATTTACCTTGCTCCCATAAATATTTGTAAGAATTAATTACCAGCTTATTGAAAGAATTAATGAAATTCACATTGTTTATTATAACGCATTAGCAGGGGCAGGAAACATCCTCCTGGCCAAGAGAGAAATTCTACTGAAAAAGCCCTTTCCTCTGAGGTTGGAGCACTAGAAACAAACCCAGGGGATCTCCTACAGGAGCCCCACAAGGTCTCCGGATGCTCAGCTCCATCAAAGCCAGGCAGGTGTGCTCCCCATCCCCAAGAGTGACACAGAACATATTGACCAGTTTCATTCTTTATCGAATGTGGAAATGCACTATTAACCCCCTCAAAAAGGGTGGAACGGTAAAGAAAAACAAAGGATCTTAAAAAAAAAAAAAAAGCCTGAATTTGAATGCCACCCTCATCAGAAGTGTTAGCTATAACCAACTGCTTATAAAGACACATCTCAATCTATTCAGTCATCAGTGTTGTCTGTGATGCAATTACCAAGGGCGTAATTAAAGGAGACAGTCTACCTTTCCTTGTATCAAAGCAGGCAGATCAGCTGGACCTCTCCTCCCCACTAAGTGGGTCTACACAGTGTTCAAACAGCCAATGGCCAAGCACCTTGCTGGTAGGTAGGCACCCTTTGTAAACAAGCTTTGCAGGCAAATGCCGAAAGTAAAAGCATCATTTGTTTTGAAGTAAAATGCAACTGCCCCTTGAGAGATAAAATTAAAAGTCACTTACCAGCCACAAAACTTGGAAATGATGCCACCTTCTTTGTCTGTTAGGAAAAATGGAAAAATAAAACACATATCAATTGTAAGTAGGTAGCCCCCAAGGTGAAGGCTAAGCAGGGCTGTGATATGTGTCATAATGAGAAAAGCAAACCCCGCCATGAGTGACGGTGTTCCCAAGATGATATCTTATGTATGCTGATGCTCCATACAGCAAACCAGTCTGCTGCAGGCAACGTGATGTTGGGGAGTGGCCCAAAAGCCCATCGTCTAAAACTTAGGGACCCTCAGACTAGCCTATCTTGACTAGAAGGGAGTCTAGAGACCATCCAACACAATGGTGCTCCAAACGGTGGGCATGAGAGCCATCCGGGCACATCTTTAAAAGCAAGATAAAGGAGACTGGACACCACTCCATCATTGGCCATCATTATTTCAACAAAGTTAAACAATCTCATGTAAACTATGTTACCAAGAAACGGGAAATAATTTCCATCAGAGGACTGTTAGTTTATAGGAAATTGTTTGTTAAAACCTGTTGTTGATTTAGAACAGTGGCTCTCAACTGGGATGATTTTTGTTCCCAAAGGGACATTAGGCAATGTCTGGAGATATTTTTGGTTACCACAAATCAGGGGTGGGGATGGGGTAGGTACAAGGATCTAGTGGGTTGAGGCCACGGATGCTGCTCAGCTCCTACAATACACAGGACAGTCTCGAAAACAAAGAATTACCTAGGCCTCAATGTCAATGGTGTCATTGTTGAGAAACCCTAGTTTAGAACATGGTTATCAGACAATGAATAGAATGGCTTTTTATAAAATTAAGAAGTACCAGTGATCCCCCACCCCCACACATACACCATCTGCAACACATGAGCACTCCATGGCATGGTCCTAACAGCAGGGAGGCCCTCTCCTCGCTCCTCCCAGGCCAGCGTGCCGTCACCTCCTCCCCATATGGAGACACCAACTTGGCTTGACCTGGACTCCCTCTCCCCCAGGCACTAGGTGGGACGAGAACATCACGGACTAAGTGAGCAGACCACAACTCAGTGGGTCACTCCACCATTAGATGAGCGTTCTGGCCCAGAACTCTCATCCTTGAAAAAAATTACCTCTGGAATGTTGTTATTGTCAACAGGTCCATTGAGATCAGAGCGCTGCTGCTTCCTTGGCTGCTCCAGACCATTGCAAACCTGGAAATGGGGAAGTTAAAGATCGTGATTTTATGTTAGAGAAATGCAAGATGCAAAACCTGGATATGCAATATGATACAATTTTGTAAAATGTATGTGTATGTCGGTGTGTGTATAGGTGTGTGTGCAGTCATCTATTTAATTATACTTAAACTGCTATGAACTTAATATTCTATTTTCATACTTCTAAAAAAGTTATTTTAAATCATTTTTAAATTTATCTTTTGATTGCAGTAAAATGCACGTAACATAAAGTTCACCATTTGACCACTTTTAAGTGTACAGTTCAGTGGCACTAAGTACATTCACACTGGTGTACAACCATGGTCACCATCCACCTTCAGAATGTCTTCCTCTTCCCAAAACTAAAACACTGTACCCATTAAACAAACTCCTCAATACTCCCCAACCCCAACCCCAACCCGAGCTCCTGCCAACCACCATTCTACTCTCTGTTTCCATGAATTGGGCAGCTCTATGCCCCTCATGTAAGTGGAGTTATTATACAGCCAGTATGTTCCTTTTGGAACTGGCTTATTGCACTCAGCGAAATGTCCTCAAGGGTCATCCACATTGAAGCACATGGCAGAACTTCCTTCCTTTTAGGACTGAATCACACTCTACTGTGTGTACATGCCGCCTCTTGTTTATCCAGTCATCTATTGATGGACACTTGGATTGCTTCCAATTCTTGGCTATTGTGAATGGTGCTGCTATGAATGTGGGTGTGCAAATATCTCTTGAGTCTTCACTTTCACTTCTTTTACATACATACCTGGAGGTGAAATCACTGGATCATAAGATAATTCTATTTTTCAGTTTTTAAGGACCTTCCGCACTATTTTCCACAGCAGTAGTGCCATTTACATTCCCACCAACAGTGCCCAAAAAGTTAAAAGTCATATTTTTAAAAAACCTAAATACTTGGATGAGAATAAATGCAAAGTAGCCAATCTATTACTACAAAATATAAAATGCCCCAAGTACATGTCATAAGTCTTCTCTTAAAGAAGACACCAAACTACAACTGCTTCTACTTTAATTAATAAAATTTAAGGTTAGGTATATCTTCTCTATTTAGTTCCTTAGATCATTCAGAAGACAGAAGCCAGATCCATAGCCCTTAAATCCCTGTCCAAACCCCAAAGGAGGTTCCAGCGCCTGCATGGTAAGTCCAGTTCCAGAACTTTCTGGAAATAAATTATCGAGAAGTAACAATATGATGATGGCAAGGAAGACACTGATGATAAAAGTTACATTTACCAGCTGGGCGAAGTGGCTCACGCCTGTAATCCCAGTACTTTGGGAGGCCAAGGCAGGCAGATCACTTGAGGTCAGGAGTTCGAGACCAGCCTGGCCATCATGGTGAAACCCTGTCTCTATTAAAAATACAAAATTAGCTCGGCGTGGTGGTGGGTGCCTGTAATCCCAGCTACTCAGGAGGCTGAGGCAGAAGAATCACTTGAGCCCGAGAGACAGGGGTTGCAGTGAGCCAAGATGGTGCACTCTTGCACTCCAGCCTGGGCAACACAGTGAGATTCAGTCCCCCCCAGTAAATACATACATACATACATACATAAAATTAAAAAAAAACACAGTTACATTTACCTAACTTACCTAGCACCTTAGGGTTTACTAAAACCTTTTGCATACGTGATGAATATTCTCCCCACTGCTTGACAGGTGAAAAAACTGAGACCCCAAGTGTTGAGCCGGCTTCTCTCGGAGTCAGGTGACGCCACGAGGTGTGGCTGCCAGCCCTGTCCCCCGTCCTAGTCCATCAGTGTCTTGCTCTTTGGTGGAACTCTGCCTCTCTGGGGGCTTGAGAAAAATTAAACCACCTGGGCCCACCCTCCCAGCACTGATGGGGACAGACACGCCGTGCCCCAGGCAGCCGGAATGATTGCTGGCTAAGCCTCCCCTCCAGGATCACAGACACCATTGGATTTCGAGGCAATGGGAGTGGGGGATGCAGGGAAGCAGGCGCCGGTGCTGGGCGTTAAGGATGGTGAGGGAGAAGGGAGAGCATTGCTGCTACATCTCAAGAAAGCTACATGGGGCTGCCCTTCCTAGAGCTGAGGGGGTGCAGGGGTGCCGCTGGGACTCAGCAGCGCTGAAGTCTGGTTGGTCCCTGCCTCCCCCGGTCCTGCTGCCCCTACCCCTAAGCCCCATGAGCTCACAGGCCTAGCCAGACCACACCCTGCTCTCCCGGCATGACCGAAGGCCCGGCTCTGGCTTGTCTGGGACTACAGGCATGCTGCCCTGCTTCTCGAAGCCTAGCATCCCAGGAGCAAAACCCATCCTTCCCCCCCGACAAGAGGGCTGTGATCCGCCGGGACTCCACCGCCGAGCAAGCTGAGCAGACAGTGCTGCTTTCTGCAGGGCTGAGACTGGCCCAGGTACCACTTCCCCTCACCCATCCCCGGCACCGCTCTTCCTCCTATGGCCAAGGAACATCAGGCAAAAGCTCCCAAAGGAGGCAACAAGAGAATCTCGCCTCAGACGCCGCTCACGTTCTCCTAAAGTAAACCTTGTTTGGGACATCCCCCAGAGAGCTCTGCTGAGGACACTCTGCTATTTCAAGGTGCACATAGCACACGTTGGTATTTTACCCAACACGGTGCCCTTCTGCATGGACTTGGTTTCCTGAAGCCCTTCCCTGCCTTACTAGTTGCTGGACAGGTGATGGTCATCTCCAAGAAAACCCCAAAGAAATCAACCAGCCAATCAGCAAATGAAATCAGGTTAACAACATCCGTTCTGCGAGCTGGGTGGGATTTAATTTGTCAGGCAGAGGGAGCGCCACAGACGTAGGGCGACAGACTCTCATCAGGCAGCCAGATAAGTCAGGGGTTGGGGGACACAACAGGGGCTGCATCTGCCATGGGTTAGGGCTGGGCCAGCCACTGTACCTTTGTGCAACTTCAAGACAGGGCTCAAGGCTTGGCTGGGGACGCAGACTGATGCCCACACCCCCATGCCCTACCCACGGGACTCCCCAGTGCGGGGGCCATAGTATGGGGTGTCCACGGGCAACACAAGCTTGTCTCTACGGGTGACCCTTTCCCCCACATCAGAGTTTCCTCTAACTCCCTCCCAAGCAGGTGTCCACTCATCACCATGACAACCACATCTCACAGTAAACAGCCAGGGTGACTTCCCAAAGAGGCAGGAGGGTGGGCTTGTGATGCTTCTCCTTGGGACGGCCCATCTGGTGCTCTAATTTCCATCTCGGGGCTGGCGGGGTTGGGGGCCTGGCAGCATCTGAAATTCACACAGTTGGAGGCCCACATGGATTTGGGGCTCCAGACATCCTAGATAAAGATGCTATTTAAATCCTGTCATGCCCTCCCCAAAGTACAGCAGACAGTCACCCCTGAAAACAAGATGCCAGCCAGGGCCACCTCAACTCCCCACAGCCAACAGGGGACACGGGGTCCCATCCCTCGCTGAGTAACTGTAGTGGAGACTGAAACCCACATCAGCCATCCACTCGGAGAAGGCGGTGGCACAGCATGAGAATCAGCATGTGTCCCCGGAGCTCTGAGGACAGAAAATTAACGTGTGGTGTGGGACAGACTCTTCACAGCACATGCGACCCAGGGACAACTGTTCAGGGCAGAGATAAATGCTTGTAATAAAAATACACTAATGCCAATAAATCTTTCTAATAAACACCTTGGCTCCAGTTGGTGAAACTAAAGCTTGGATTTTTAAAAGTGTCAATTCTGATTTTGTCTGCTTGGTGGAACTGAAAATACAGCAATATAACCACATTGCTTTGGATGAAACAACATGAAACCAGTGCACACCCACTCCGCTCAGGCCATCTGCAACAAAGGCAGAATGCTTCCAAGCACTCTCTGGAATGACAGGCATGTCAGACGCTGAGGTCAGGGACAGAGGGCATCAGCAGAAAGCCAGGCTAGCCACAGCCATCCCCAGTGGCCTGTGAAAATTCTCCCCAAACAAGACCCTGTGACAGAGAAGTCCTGGGCGGATGAATGACTCCATTAGATGACAGTCTTCTCTGGGAATCGCTTCATGATTCCTGTTTTCAAAAGAGGCCATCATCCCTACTCATCTGATATTTCAACAGGGACTTCTTCCTCCCCCCAGCTCAGGAGGGGCAGCCGAGACCCGCTACAGCACCAGAGCTCCAAGCAGGACCGGTGACAGCGTGACCCCCTGGTCGGATAGAAGGTCTCACTCGGCGGCGCGGACGTCGTCTTTCAGAAGCCCTTGGATCTGTCCTGACATCTGCGTGGCTCAGAAAACATTACCGTATTGTTCTTTTCCTTCCACTCCTCTTTACAATTCAGGTCACTCCTGTGATGTTTATCTTGAGGAGAATGGAAGCTTCGATAGAGTATTTATTCTTATAATAGTTACTCCCCTGGGGGAGATCATATCTTTTCAAAGCAGATCTGTGGCTTAAAAGTATCACCACAAGACACATTGGGAAAACCAGCCAGTCAGTCTGTACTTAAACATCTCTAGGCAGGCCTGTGAATGGGAGGAGGAAGGGGACAGTCCCTCCTACAACCCAGTATCCAGACATTTCATGGAACATATTTATACTGAACAATAATTCACTATCTACCTGAAATACAACTTATTTTTTCAATTGCTTATTATGGTAAAATACACATACAATAAAATATACTATCTTAACCATTTTTGAGTGTCCAGTTCAGTGTTATTACATAATGTTGTACCACCCCGAAAAACCAAAATTCTATACACATCTAAATTCAAATGTAACTGGGCACCCTATACTGTTATTTGCTGAGTCCATCAGCTCTAGGGGGCAGACAGGCTGACAGCACACTCTGGCCTGGCTTTATTCCCCGTGCTTGGTCTGCTGAAATCTCTCCTCCATCACTGACCACTGGGGCGACCCGCACGCGTCCTCCACTTCATCGTTTACTGTCTCTTCACAGAGCCCTGTAAAGGGCAGGCAGTGGATGGCTGTGTCCAGTGCAGCATTTCAGAGCAGA